AAAGCATCTCTCTAAAAGGTTGATAATAACTTCGCTTTTTATAAAAGGAAGTCATATATGAGTACTGACTTAAATTGCCACCTGCTGTAATTTAGAAGACTTAGGTGCTTATCATAAGTCTACCCCCCCACCCCACCCCCACACCCCCCTACCCAAAAAAAAACAAAACGGGCAATCAAAGCATGAGCAGTGATATTTTAGAAGACTAATACTGACTTTAACCACTATTAAAGTGAGGCTGCCATAAAATCTGAATCAACTAACAGAAGCACAGTTATTTTGAGCTGTAGGTGAGGTGAAAACTGTATCAGTGTCACAGAGACATTTCGCTGTACTCAGTAAATGTTACCTACTGTCTTGGCAGGTGAGCGAGGCTGGTTTCCCTGTGACAGGTGTCGCATGCATGCAGCGACGAGCAAGCAAGCACGATGTCGATTCGCGACGGCAGAGACGGGGGTGGAGAGGGGGAAAGAAAAGAGCAGCGCACAAAAGAAAGACAAAACAATCAAGTCATGAGCAAAAACATGCAAAACCATAAAAATCAATGTGATAGTGAGCATTAATCAAGACGGAATTCAAAAAAGAGCAGATGGTGGCCACGAAATGAATACATTGCGGTGCCATTTATGGTTATGAACACGTATTTGGAGAGCTAAAAGTTAACAATGTGAAGTAAATGACAGCATGCTGATGGTATAACATTTACGCTCAAGGCCATTATAGCAAATGAGCCACTGTGCAGTAAACACTAAAGCAATCAAATGCTTGATGAGGAGCATATTGATTGAGAAAGAGTAAAGGAGATGATAGAGAGACAAACACACGAACACGGTAAACCTCCATGTTGTAGATGTGGAGGACTCACTTTCTTTTTTGTGCCTTTACAGTCAACTCTTTCAAACAAAGATGGCTGCAGTAGAATTTCAAAGTTTCACAGTTTTGAAGTTTTTTGGGTTTCATTTTTTATTTTCTAGCTCAGCGCCTTTGAACAGTTGCATCAGTAATAGTCATTGACAGCCGTGCAGTGGCGGAGATTCTTCCGTAATATGAAGGAATCAAGAGTCGAGACAAAATCTTGTTGCCTGCAGGGCTCTTCCCACTCTTTCCAAATCTCTTGATCAAACACAAAGAAGATCTCTATCTTTTCTGGATGTCGGAGGCCAAATCTAAACTACTTCCCTTGAGTGTAGAGGGGGGTCACTTCCTGTGTATAACACTTTAACTTCTCGAAGAAATCCTCAAATCAGGATTAAGCGGGGATTAGAGATCAGATGTAGGAAGGTGATGTCACCTCTGCTGGTGTTGTTACATGCAGTCCATCCATTGCTCTCTCTCTCTCACTTCTTCTCTCTCTCTCTGTTACAGTATTTTTATTCCTTGAGATCTGGTGACACGCGCACAGGCCTAAGCTAAAAGGCCAGAATACAGACATGCAAATTGGCTGGAGATATATCTGAAAGCCATAATGTTCCTGGTTTCATAGCCACGAGTCACACAAAGACCCTTTTTGCCCCTTCCCGTTTCTCTAAAAGAAAGTACAAATACACTGAGAGGCAAATTGGGACATGATAAGGTGAGGATATTTCAGCAGCGCTCAAATCAGCAAAAGTGATGAGACGATGAAATTATATTATAGACGGGGATCAGGAGGTTTGAGGCTATCACATTGGGAGGCCTGATTGGAATTTGCAACAATCTCCTTTGGGCTGAACTTTTTTTTCCAATGAGATAGTAGGAAGTGTGTGATCCGCCTCAGCACTTTTCCCTCTATCCGCAAAATCCCTAAAACTATTTTAGCCTTGGAGTTTGGTCTATAGCGTATTGACTGCTCAGCACAAAAGACGAAATGAGACAGAGAAGTGAAAGCGCAGTGAGAAAACTGGACAAATCTTCCATTTGAAATCCTGATGAGCTCGAGAAGCACTGCGCTGGAGAGATAGATGGTTGACCTTTTACCCAATAGCTATGCACAGCTTCTGTGATAATAAAGGCTTTGTCTATCTGATAATTGATCCATAATTAAAGGATGCAGGGACAGAGAAAATCCAATAGCTGATCCCCTCTATGCAACAGTATCTTAATGCAAAGACATTTACAGTATTAACATATTAAATAAATGAGCTCTGTAAGTAACATGGCCTCACACCCAATCATGTTTAAATTTATTAAAAGTCTGTTCGCTCACATGGATGAGTTTCCAAGGATGCGTGCCTATCATTAAGTGTAAAACCTGCGTGTGTGTGTGTGTGTTTGGATTAACTTAATTAGCAGTGGCTGGCTTAAGAGAAAACGCTGTGATTTCCAGTAAAGCTGGTACATCTTTAACTTGTGAGACAATCAGACGTTCTCATGGAGGTTGTCAGCATTTGAGGGCAGCAGCATTATTTTAAAAAAAAGCAACAAAACAGACAGTACAGAAAGTTTTTTAATTAACAGTTGAATCCAATTACATTTACGTGGATGATGTGTGCTGGAGTGTTTGGTTTCCGCACTTAAGAGCTCATAATTGTTGCGTGAGTGTCCGTCCTTCGCAAAGCGGATATTAAATGTGCAAATTGCAATCAAATGTGTGTACACGAGTCGCTCTTGAACACGAGGGTTGTTTAGATGATGTGCTAGCGAGGGTGTGCGTCTTACCCACGTAGAGCTGGCTGAACAGCTCGAGCCGTGTGTGTCCCTGCGCGGGAGCAAGTCTGGACGTCCTGTACGTCTGGTCCAGCTGAAGGACAGCCTCTTTCACGTTACGCTCGGCCATTACACGGTGCCACTGGTCGTCGTTGAGAGATGTAGCTGAATGCACAATCAGCTCCACTGGTCCATTTCCGACATCGAAGGAGAAGGAGACCACCTTAGGAGCTGCAGAAAGAAAAAATTCCAAACAATTCACAGCTTTATAAAATCCAGCATCCCCTGTTCTGCTGTAGTTCACTTTGTAGGTAGATATGCATTAAATTTCTAATCTAATGGCTCATTTGTTTCAAGGCCACTCATTTGGCTTGTATAGATTTCAGCTTTGCATTACATGACTGCTCACAGCTTTTGCACAGGCCTAATATCACCAACCGCCAGGAACGGTTGTTTTTTTGTGACATAAAGTCGTATTGCTGCAGTTTCCCTGTTTTTTTAGACTTACTTTTGCTTGAGAGTTGGAAAGACGTGTCAGGAAAGGTGTGTGTGGAAAAAAAAAGGAAGGGAAAGGTTCCATAGAAAGAAGACAAAAAGAGCGAACAGTGCAAAACGGTCCTGTTTATCTACTAGATTAATTTTTCATTATCTTGAGCTGAGTTGATTTGATTGTGTGTGTCCATGAGACAGTAGGTTGTCATAAAGTTTTAGTGCTTTTCTGCAGTTTAATAGTCTAATTTATCTCAGTAGACCAAGAGGGGGCACCGGTTTACCTTTTATAGCCATGATCAGGTAAAACGTTCATTGATGCTTCTGAACCACCTTTGTGTGTGACTGACTTCAGTAAATTTCAGTTTTGGCTGTTTTGCATTGTGTGTCGCTGCCTGGTCCTGCTTTGAACCTGTCTGCAATGTTGCATCTGCACAATGATACTCTGTGAGTATGTGTGACTCCACAAGTCACACATAATAAACCTTATCACATACACATTTTTAAATAGAGGAGAATTGCAAAGTCTCTCTACCTTTTAAATAAAAGACAATGTGTTAACTAACTGAATGCCTCAGCAAAATGTTAAAGGACTCTTTTAGACTTGCTGCTGGAAAGATCATTCGGAATTGACGTATTAAAACCCAAATGAACTTTTCCTTAATGTTTGGAGACTGATGTATAAAAGCTTTATATCCTGGATGGTGGCATATGGTCGGTACTGGCACCAGTGTGCTGCAGCCCGAGTGGTGATAAATAGCTTGATATGTTACCGTTCTATTATAGCTTCATTAGGCTCAGATATTAAGAGTGAATAAATTTATACTGTAGTCAATGGGGAAATGAGCTTACTTCTTTTCCTTTGTTTAATCAATGTCTCTGGCCCTTTTCTCCTTTTCATATTGCTTTCATCTAATTATCCTTTATCTTTCAGTGACTCTTCCATGGCCTTTGGTATCATTTCTACATTAAATCTATCCATTTCCATTTATTCCTTCATGTCCTGCTTGTTTGTACCCTCCTTTTTCTTTTATGTTTCCCTTTGCTCGCTTGGTTCAAACTTTCCCTTCATCGGTTGTTTCTTTATGCTTCTGTTTATTCTCTTGCCTTTACAGACCCACCTGTGACTTTGGCCTCCCTTATATCATTTCTTCCTTCTTTCATTTTTCCTCGAACCCTTTCTTGCACACAATATTTAATGAAATGATCCAAGCAAAAGCCTGAATGTGCTGAGTACATTAACCTATCAGATGAATTTCATGAAAAAAATAGTGCTTCATCATTTAAACGCCAGCAATACACAAACACACCAACCTCAGCAAAGACACACACAAACAGAGACGCAGTATAAGGCCTCTGACAGCCTTTAGTATGCTGAATTAATGATGTTTGTATGCACAGAACAGGTCCGCGGGGCAGGGAGGAGAGACATCAGTTATTTTAAATGGTGAAAGACGGCCAAACATATATCACAATACCCCAGCAGGAACACAGCTTTAGTAATGCTGCAACAACAATGCTGAACGTCATATATGAGATGCGTGTGTGTGTTTGATAATTTGTGTGTTGTTTTAGTGGCACTGCAAACCAAGACGTATGCCCTACAACCTCCTGTCAACGGGCGCGAATAAAACTAAAGTTCCCTCAGAGCACAGAGCTCGCCTCATCTATTTGCATAGATGATGGATGTAACTAGTGTAAATGCTTGTGTGTGTGTAAATGTAATATTTGTGTTGTGTCCTTACACTTTGCACGTTGGCCTAAAAAAAAGGACAAAAAAGCCACGCTTAGGTTTTTACTTTTGCTATTTGTTTTTCTATTAATCTTTTAATATGGAGGCCGAAAGAGCCGAGTTTTAAATTATGCGTCAGCACAGCACAACCAAATGATGATAAATAGTGAAAGCCACTGAACGTCTTTGTGTGAAAGATCACTGCTCGTGTGGGTGTGCTTGTGCGTTTGTCTAATGTGAGGTTCAATTTTGCTGTTCTTCATCTTTTTTTTTTGTCCAGAAGGCTGGCAGTGCATTATCTCTTCGATCGCTTTTCTGTTAGACTGGCAAACTCTGTGTTGTTGCTCTCATTTGCTTTGTTAGCCTTTGGCTCTGTGTTTTTTTCTTAACTTGAGGGTTCGTTGGAACGGGCTGGACCTTTTGTGTTTTTTGGGGGATGGAGGCTCGGTTTAAGTGCGAGCCAACCCTAAGTGGCATAGCAAACCTGCTGCTGTAGAGGCTGAAGCGAGATTTAAACTTCTTAAAGGCTGGGAAAAGAAAAAAGCAGTTTTTATCAGCAAAAGAAGGAAGTGCATGCAATACAAAGAATGCCGACAGCTTCTCAGCGTGCGCAGAGAACAGATATGGTGAGATTAAGATTAACTTTTGACTGAGCTCTGAAGAAGAGGCTGAAAAAATATTCTTACTCCTAAGTAGATATTGCTTTAACAAGTCTGACATGTGACAAAAGCGGCACGGCACACTCCTATACTCCATATGTAAACCGTAAATGACTAGTCTTCACAAGAAAAACAGACAACTTTACAGTTTTGGAAGGACATGTCTCCAGCTGGAAAGTACATTTCTTAGCTGCAGCCTTTAAAAATATACAATTTGGCACAAAACATCCCACAAGTCAATTTTTTTCTAATAGGGATCTCTCCATCTGTTCTCAGTCTAGTTACGAGGTTACGATTCTGAATAAATCTCAAATGTGCCTATGCCTATTTCTTCCTATTAAGATTGGAAAATGAATAGAGTCCACCTCGCGTCTTTGAGCCTGCTGAGGTCACAGTAATGTGTGTTTTGTCCAAGGGTTTAAAGTGTGTATCACTGAGTGTTTATGTGCTTTGGGCTCCTGGAATGGCACAACCATGCTATTCCAGCTTAATGCTAGTCATTTCATGCCCTGACTGGATTGCAGCAGATAGAGTTTTTTGCGCCAACGAGAGGGCAAAGATTATGTGTGTGTTTATGTGTATGTGAGTGTGCATGCGAGTAATTTCTGGATTGTGTGTCTAAACGGGTGCTGTGGGGCAAAATGCAAGATGATAGCAAGAGAGAGGAGAGAGGAAATCGATGTGGGGGCATTCTGAAAGCCTCAGGAGACACAAGCACGCACACAAGCACACACACACTCTGCAACTGTGACAGACCACATATTTACTGTATCTGTGTGTGTCTGTGTGTGTGTATTATGAAGTACGCATTTGGAAAAAAACAAATACCAAACCCCTTGAGCATTTTTCAGCACTCAAATGTACAGAATAGTGTCAGCACATAGATTTTTTTTCTTTGTAGATGAGTATTTGTGTGTAAGAAAGAACTTGGATAGAAAAAAAGCTCACGGAGCTCTTAGACTGCAAACTAGCTGACATAATGTCATTCAGTGTAACGGCTTTAGACAGCACTTTGGCTCAAAATTCGACTTTGTGTCTATTCACTGGTTGGCATTTTGACACAAAATGGTGGGCCAGGCGCACCAGCAGGAAATGGTCAGCAAGCGCTTTTGACACCAAATGTTCAAATCCCTTTGAATCCCAATGAATCCCAATGAATGCAATTAGTCATCAATCGACCGCCATGCCGTGCCAGGAACCCGTTTCACAATGCAGCTTCGAGATTAAATAAAAGCCCTAGATTTTAAAACTCTTGATCAGAAAGGCACCACTGTGGCTGCGGGGAATTTAATTTGAGCCACTGAACATGATCACAGAAACCCGCTGCATGACACGTCAATCAAAGCTCTCAGAGCGGACTAAGAGTCTGTGAAATGAGGGTTGGGCAAAGCTGCCCCATTGATTGATGTTTTAAATGTTTAGCTCTTCTTTGTCACAGTCTGTTTGTTCCAGCTTTAATGTTTGACAAAATGATATCTGTTTTCATATATGTACACACATGTACACACTGCTCAAAAAAATTAAAGGAAGGCTTTCATCAGATCCTAAGAAGAACACATCAGATCTCATTGGGGGAAAAAATCATGCTGGATATGGATACTGATATAGACTGGCTAATGTGTTAGGAACAATGAAAACGATTGGGAGGCCAGTCCATTTAGCTAAAATGTCACTGCAGCAACTCAAAATGCTACTGGTTTCTATTGCCCTTATGTGGTTGTATGCATGCCTGACAATGTTGGTGCATACTCCTAATGAGACCACAGACGGTGTCCTGTAGGAACTCCTCCATGGTCTGCACCAGGGCATCACAGAACTCCTGGAGAATCTTAGGTACAACCTGACAGGTAGTATGCATTCTCAGCCTCCAGGAGCTGCCTACTCTCGTCACATGATGCCGGGCAATGTCGTGCATCAGGAGGAAGCCAGAACCCACTGCACCAGTGTAGTGTCTAACAGTGGGTCCAAGAATTTAATTCTGATAACTAATGGCAATCAGGGTGCCTTTGTTTAGCCTGCTGAGGTTTGTGTGTCCCTCCATGGATATGCCTCCCACGACCAACACTGATCCAAAACCAAACCAGTCATGATGAACAATGTTACAGGCAGCATAATGTTCTCCATAGCTTTTCCAGATTTTTGCATCTGTCACATGTGCTCAGCTGAACCTGCTCTGTTGTGTGAAAAACAAAGGGTGCCAGTGGTGGAGCTGCCAATTCTGATATTTTATGGCAAATGCCAGCCGGACTCAGTGGTACTGGGCAGTGAGCATAAGGCCTACTAAAGGACAACCCGCCCTCAAGAAGTTTGTCTCTGATTGCTTGGTCAGAAACATTTACACCAATGGCCTG